CAAATCTCAATTTTCGCACTGCTCTATGGGAGATATAACTCCAGGTGGACCCATTGCTTATCATTGCACCTATTCTAACCATACTAACCTCTCCATCCACTATCACTAACTTCCCTAGTGTTTTCTTTTTACCCAGACCTCGCGAAGAGTAGTGATTACCCATTGCCTATGTACGTTATTCCCGAAACTAATGACTCACCCTTATCTTGAAATTCCAAATCTCAATTTTCGCACTGCTCTATGGGAGATATAACTCCAGGTGGACCCATTGCTTATCATTGCACCTATTCTAACCGTACTAACCTCTCCATCCACTATCACTAACTTCCCTAGTGTTTTCCTTTTACCCAGACCTCGCGAAGAGTAGTGATTACCCATTGCCTATGTACGTTAGGGGATTGCTCAAAGAGATCCTAGAACAAGCGTCATCTAAACAATTATCTGAACAATTGCCTTGGCCTGCGAGTGGGAAGGGTTGTATTTGTCGTGCACCTTTTCTACAGGCCACTCCCTTTTATTCGTTGCTTCCCTTCTTGTTCTGGTGCCGTCTAGTTCCACCACGGGCAAAAGGGAATGATGTGGCCTTCCTTGCCACACTTTGAACCCAGTCGATTGTCCCGGCAACAGCGCCACTGGGACTCTCATAGGTTCATTTGCTTCCACGACCGACCTTCAATATGCCAAGTTCCTCCCGTCGCGGCTTCACGTACCCTTCTGGTTAAACCCCAAAGTAAGCCCCGATTACGGATCTTGGTGACAAGATGGATGAATGGGGGTTGGGCCTTCACTTTTTGGGGATCATTGCAAGCATCTTTCGATTTTATCCTTGACTTTTTGCACAATTAGCTTTGCGCAGTTGATTAGCGACCGCGTGGGAATATTCAACAAAAACAACGAATATAATTTCATTGGTTGCAACTTTTTAATGTCTTTGCTAAACATGAGCACGCGGCCATTTTTCGGGTTCTTGCACGCTCGCGCGCTAACTTTTTTTATTGCTCCTTCGTCTATGTGCACCCCTTCGTCTGCCTCCACTCCCTTCTGGCGCGAGGGATTGGTCGTTAGTTGGGTTGGTCGGTTTGAGCTGTAAGAGCAAACTTATGTGCGCAGCTCCACCACAATTATGCAAAAACAAAATCAATCCTCTCGCCTTCCTCCATCTTCTGGAACATTCTTTCTTCTCTCCTCATCTACCACCCTCTACACGTCGATGCCCCACCACCTACCACCCTCTTCTGGAACTTTGGGCCGCCCTCATCTCTCCTCCTCTTTGATCTCTGCTGCAATGCTACGGAAGCGATGAGCGAAGGTTGCCATGCCGACGACGTGCCCAAGGATGGGCAGAGTAACGGCGTGGGTAAGCTTAGCGGCAGTTACAGTGGGTGGTAATCCAAGGGACTGAACGGAGGTGGGGACGAAGGTGCTTGTCCAACTGTACACGCTGTTAAAAAGTCTATGCATGTATGGTGACGATAATCGTTGAGTGCTGAGTAGCTGGAAGTTATTTCAATGCGGGTCCCGCGTTGAAAACGCAGGGAAACTGCGTTGAACCCCCCGTTTATTGCGGTTCACCGCAACCCGGGAAGATTGCTTCGCAAGCAAAAAATGAGCAAAAAAAAAGACAAAATATAGGGTTGTAAACTTGTAGATCTTTTCAATAGCTACAAGCCGCTATTTTTTATTTTACTTTATTGAACATTCACTATTTTTATTTTTAATAAAAAAACATACAAAAAAAAAAAAGATGGGATGGGTGTGTTTTACGTTTTTTCACAGAGATTTTTTTGCGGGCAAAAGATAAGCACAAAAACAAATAAAAAATATAGGGTTGTAGATCTTTTGCAGAGCTACAACGGTACAACCCCATGCTTTTTATCGTCCTTTTTTTAACTACGTGTTTAAAAACAAATTAAAAAAACATAAAAACCAAACACACACACACGCGCCCACATATACACACACACACGCACACACACACACACACGCACAAACACACGCGCACATACGCACACATGAATACAGAGACACACATGGACACATACACATGCACACAGACAACACACGCACACACACACACACACACGCACACGCGCACACATGAATAGACACACACACACGCACACACACGCACACACACACACACACACACACACACACACACACACACACACATGCATACACACAATCG